GCCTAAGCCTAACCCTAAGCCTAAGCCTAAGCTTAAGCCTAAGCGTAAGCCTAAGCATAAACCCAAAAAACGTAACCCTAAGCCTTCTAAGCAAAGAACCCAATATCCTTTTGATGAAATCTTCTGGAGCGATTTTGCATTATGATTAAAGGCATGATAGAAATTCGAATTCATTTTATACTTCTATAAAGATTTTTGAAGAATTTTTAATATAGTCGATCTCGAAATTATCAAAGTTTAATTAATAAATTTGTTTAATTTCTGAAAAATCAACATTACCTTATCAAACTATAATTAATCATCCATGCCTAAATCATTTATTTCATCAATTTCTTTCATCACTACTCAATATTTAATTAAAACTTTACTTCAAATTATCATTTTCTAAGTACGCTTGTAAAATTGAATGACGACTTTTCAGTAATTTCGATAAATTTCTTTTATTCATCCATCCCTAATTGCAAACATCTTCGATTACTATCTTTGTCATTTTCAGCAATATTCTTATTATTGCTTGATAAAATTGAAAATCGAACATTATCAGCAAATAGCAATCTAAGGTAATTGTAAACTATTATTGATACTTTTCCGGAAAAGCTATGAAACCATTTTCCTGAAAAGAAAAGTTATACAGTATAATGATAGAAGGAACCATAAACATTTTTCGACATTTTTCAACATTCAATAGTTATTGCAGGAAAAAGAAAACAATCAAACAATTGGCTGTTAATTTTAAAACTATTTGATACAATCAAAAATATCAAAATCTTGAAGACATTCATTGAGACTAAATATCATTCATTATTTATTTGATATGATAAGAAATATAATGAATGATAATAATAATATAAGCATATTCAATAATTTAGTTTTCATTGAGGAAATATTAAATGAAATGATATATACATATATTAATATTTTTTTAATATTTAATAATGTTTCTTTTTTCCATCATCAATTAAAATACTTTGTTTTAAAAATATTTTAATGATATTTAAATTCTGAAAAATGGCATTGTTTCTATTTTTGATTTCAGGAATATTAAAAGACAAAAGAAATCTGAAAGCATTTTTGAGCAGTATTTAAGAAAAAATTTTATTTCAAAAAACCTGTTTTAAAAAAAGGTACATTTCAAGTACCACATTAATGAATTTCTCTCTCTCTCTCTCTACCTCTCTCTCTCTCCATGTAGATTCATTCGTATAGCTGTTTCTCTTTTTTCTTTTCTTGAATTTTAAAAAAGCACAATTATTTTCTTTGATAACAATCGTAGCATTTCATTCTTCTATTTGAGCGATAAAAGTTACTAAAACAGAGAGCGAGAGAGAGAGGGAAAGGGAGAGGAAGAGGGAGAGAGAGAAAGGAAGGGAAATGGAAAGGAAGAAAATATATTAAAACTAAAAGTACGATATAGGCAGCTTATTATCCGAAATTATATACAACAAATAAAAATGAATAGGAAACTGTCAAAAACTGCAAAATATTTCTAAAAATTTGAATTTTTCATGGCATAATACAGCTATGATAATCATATAAGAGAAATGTGTTGATAAATATTGATATATTGATAAATGATAGCGAATGCACTAAAAAATTGCTTTCAGTTATTCTTTCATTTAGATAACATAATATAGCTATGATAATCATATAAGAGAAGTATATTGATAAATATTGATATACTCATAAATGATAGCGAAAGCACTAAAAAATTGCTTTCAGTTATTCTTTCATTTAGATAACATAATATAGCTATGATAATCATATAAGAGAAGTATGTTGATAAATATCGATATACTCATAAATGATAGCGAAAGCACTAAAAAATTGCTTTTAGTTATTCTTTCATTAAGATAACTGAAGATTTCTTTGATTTGTTTGTTTGGAAAGGAATGTAAATGAAAAAAGAATATTGATGTAAAATATTTGATAAATTCATTTCAAATTCAAATTATCTTACAGTAAGTCGAGAAGATTCTGGAGATCGTATGATACATGGAACATTTGCATTTGGTTCATCAACACCACGTATTTTATCACATTTATACGATACAGCAAGAGATTATTGTAATGGTAGTAGAATTAATGCACAAGTTGGCCGACGATCCTACACAACACCAACCTTTCCAACATCACGCTCCAAGACAAGTTCCTCTTTTTCTCTCCAAATCAAATAATTTGTTTGAGAGTTTTCATTCATCCAAATATATACTTGTAAATTGATATTTCTATTAATTAAAAATTATTTAACTCATTTCGTAATTACCATAATTAATCATTTATTTCATTCATTACAATTTCAGCAAGAACATCAACGAATGTTCAAATGAAACGAACCGATGAAGTGATCCAAAAGCCAAGTGATATGGTAACCAGTAAGAGTACACGTCGAATATTGTCAACAAATTATCAACCGAAGGAAGGAAGTGAGGAATTCATGAATTCTGTGAAAAAGAAGTTGGAAGCACAGAATGATAAGGTCAAATCGATGAAAAAGGTTGCCGCTAAAGAGAAGCAATCGAAAAACAAAAAAATTGATGGAAGCAAAATTTCGGTTGAAAAGAAATTTGCTAAAACTGACTTACCGGAAGCGTTAAAGAAATCATCTTCAATATCTGCCAAGGAACCAAAATCAGCAAGAACATTAGCTGAGGAAAAACAATTATTGATTGCTGCTAATACAGTTGATAATGAGGCAAGATTACTTTCGACAGGATTGACATCGACAGAGAAGATTGTAGCAAAAAAAGTTGAAGAAAATAATAGCACTACAAAAGCGTCAGAAGAAAGTGAAACTATTAAGATTCTGCGTGAGGAAGAATCAGAAGGACGGAAAATTGATGTAAACAATCAGTCAAAATCAACTGGGTACGATAATTTAACGGATACATTTTCAATCATTTCCAAAACGAATCACAATGAAACGGATGCAAAATCAAATTTTGAACACAAAAATGAAACAGAAGGAGAATTTTCCATTAATTCAGAATCCAAAAAACATGAACCATCTTCGTTTACTGCTCCTATAGCTCCAACCATTAATTCTGATACTTCACTTACAAAACTATCAGTATCAACTGCTGACAAAACATTTAGCCTTCGTAATGATAATAGCAAACTGAAAAATGAGAATAGTCGAGAAAATTCTGTAGATGAGATTAAGGGTGGTGAAACGAAAACTTCAGTCAGTTCGGGATTGGAGTGTGATAAGTTACCGGAAAGAAGAGAATTGATTCCGGAAAATTTGCATCAACCACAAGGAAATAATTCTGCAGCATTCAACATGCAGTCTCAGCATGAAAATGGTGAGCATGAAAATAATTCACAATCATAGCTAATTTCTCCATCAACTTCAATGTCACAAGAATGCATTATTAAGGTATCTGAGTGTAAAAATTCTTTTCATGAATAAGAAAGAAGGAAATCTAAAGATGTTTCTGAAGCTATCTATGAATTTTAAGACTGATTCACAAAATTGTTTTGCAGTCTCTCAGTTGATGGCAGTGATTCTGAATTTCATCATTCCTATCATTACCTATCATATATTTCTTCTTAATGTATATATATATTTGTAGCTATTACTCTTCATAAATTGTCAATGTTTTTCCGATATTTTAAAACATTTATTTTTTTGTTCGACAAAATAAGAATCCGTAATGGAGCTTTTTAGGAATCTATTTGGATAGCTTTCAGATTCTCTCATTTTATGATAACAGAAAAAGAATCTATTGATAAGTATGATTTATGATATGATATAAAGTGTAAAACTCTGTCAAAATATACCAAGCATAATAATTAAAAGAATCAAAGATTAAATGTAAGATAATAATATTTCACTAAAATTCAAAAGTTCATATTTAATGGAATTAGTCGTAATAATTTCTTGAATAAGCAATTAAGTTATTATCAATATCATAGTTATTATCAATATCATAATGAAGTTTGAAAAATGAATTTACAATTTGAAATGGTTGAGGTAACTTTAAAACTTCTTCTGACTTAGTTCTAAATCATTGAAAGATATATTACTTCTTTGTTAAACGACAATTTTTCATTTCATATCGATTGATACATTCCCTCTCTTTTATCATTCAAAATGAAAAAGAAATCGATCGATATGTGTGAGAAAGGAGGTTACTGACCTTCTTTCTTCTATTTTAAGATCGATAAATGAGCGACAACATATTATTATGGGCTTGATTGACATAAATGATGATATCCCGCAATGATATCAACTCATACAATCGAAGCAGGAACAAGAAAAAAAGGGAATGAAATAAAGAAAAGGGACTGATGATGATTCATCCCGGGCATTTGATAGTATTATTATTGATTGATTTTTCTTATTGCATGTTAATGAGTTTGCATACCTTTCAATTCAATCTATTTTATACACCCACTCATATTTGAATTTATCATTTTTCTTCTTTCGATTATTGAAAGATTAGAAGAGATATGATGAAGTATGGAAAGTTCCCTGTAATTATATGTCTTTTCAAAAATCAAAATATTCTGAAATATATTGATACGATGCATAGTTACAGCCGTGATAATACTACTCATCGACAATTAATTGCTAACCGTGCTCGATCATTTATCATAATTGTATTTTCTCAGTGAATTCCGAGTGATTCTTGGAAATATTTGTTTGAAAATAATATTTCCTTAAAATCTGATATTAAAAAATATGAGACAGTTAAGATCAAATATTGCGTAAATGTTGTACTTTACATCAAATAAGATGTGAAATAAAGCAAGGAATTTTTTTCTAAAAGAAAATTCTATTCCATAGTGTGATCAGAAGTCAGATGTTGATGAAAATTCCGCCACGAACATCATATCAATCCATCTCAACATATGTCATTTCATGGACGATATTATTATTATTATTATTATTATTATTATTACTATTCGAAAGTATTACTACTATTTGATTCCAATGATTTATAAAAAGGAATCGCAAAACTTCATAACTTATTTGTTCACGAATATTGTAGGGTCTTATTTAGCGTTGAATTTCAGTAAAAGGAATCATCTTTTTAAACGAAAACACTAATTTTCACTTATGTACATCTTCAACATATGAATAAAATAAAATAAATGTTCCCAAATATTACACAATGAAAAACACTAAAACCATTAAACAAACCACTTATTTATAAGCAAATAAGAATGATACAACAAAATGAAAAAACTGTATGTTAGTAATTAATTACTGAGCATAAATGTAAGCTGCTTATACAAAGATACAATTTGATAAAATAAGTGGAAAAATGATAAGTCCTTTAGTATTTTATAGAAGTTGCATCTTCTCCCACTTGAATGATTCTCGAGTAATAAATAATGTTAGTAGAGAAATACTCTGTCTTCACTAGTCGTATTGGGAACTGTGCAAATTTTCAAGGTAATATATAGTTTTCAGCACTTTAAGCTTACAATGGGTGATATCTGCAAGTAATACAACTGAAAACCTTGAAATAATGATAATCAGGAAAGTAGAAAGGCAGGAAAGGAAAAGAATAGACGGGAAAGTAAAAATATGACAGATCTTTCCAACCAAATCAAAAACACCGGATTTGGTAAAACGGTTGAAAGGCACTTTGTAGAATATTAAAATAAAGTAGAAGCGGTTGCATCAAATCAAATTTCTTGACAAGAAATAATCTGTATTATTCCTCAAAAAAAAAGAATCTTCATTTTCAATAAGCATAGGAATATTACAACAAATAAGCGAATTTTCTACTTCCAATTCATTCAAATGAAATAAAACAAATCACTATAAATTCACTAATAACTGGCAACAGATAGGTATGAGAATAGGAGCGTCTAAGTGATTAACTCATTTCACCAGATAAAGTAGAACTTAAAATAAAATATATAGATTTCATAGAAGAAACTCAATATTTTTTCAATTTAGGCAGAAACGAATCGACTCGATTAATCCATAAATTAGCACACTGCTTATGATATATAGTACCAGTAAATTCAAGCATCGAATTTGTGGAAACGCGTAATAAACAAATACCACATAATGACGGAACAATTTTGTTAACTGTTTCTCCCAAATGATCTGTATCTTCACTAGCAATACTTCCCTCTGTGAAATATTTCAGACGCGTCCATATTTCGTCAATTTTATCAAACAGCTCTTTCTGCTTAACCAATTTATCTATCCTTCCTTTCCGTATTCTAAGTGTCTGCAAAAAAAAATTCATTAACCTAATTTCCGTGGCAGCAAAATATTCCACTATATTATTATATATAATCGTAAAAAAAATGAAGTTGGCATCTACTATGCTCTAGAGATTCACTGTCAAAAACATTCACAAGTTAAGTCTCATCAGTTCTCACTGCCATATTCTTAAATTATAAAATTCTTGAAAGTTAATTATAAGCAGAAGTAAAAATAACACAACCATCAACCGATTCCGAAATTTAATCAGTTAAAGTAACCAATTTACATTAATCAGTTTAATTCCCTCCTCAGTACAACACAACCTCCTCATATTCACCTCATATTGGGCTCCTTCTTTAATGATGCATTGGATATTATCTAAAATCCATTCCTACCATTATCAAGTCATAAGGATAAATTTACGTGATCAGAGAAAAAAATTTACTGAAAAAGACACAAACAAGATAACAAGATAATTTTTTAATTTCTTTATTTTTAAATTTGTGTAAAAATCATACATTTAAAACAAATTTTCAAATATACGTGAAAATGTATTAATACTGACCATTTCATGGATTTCATAAAGTGCATTGAAGTACCTCGCACCACGATCAGTATGAACGATTGCTGCAATATGTGCCGCTGCCGAAGAAGGTAGTAATGAATCAGCATCACTTAACAATTTATATGCTTCTTCAATACAACGCCGCCAAACATAAAGACATTCTTCCTATAAAATATCTTATTATCAATAATCAGATGAAATAATTTCCCGTTCTGCTCTATTTATCAATTAAAGAAATTACTTTTGTCGTACGGAATTCACCCCTTATAATTTAATTTAATACTAAATAATCAAATAAAATTGTGCAAGCAAAATATACTTCTCCGTCTTTGCTTTCATCAGTTATCAACTTCATGCTCGCATAAATATCTGAGCCTGAAATTAGAAATTTCTTCTTTCTGAATACTACACAAGAAGAAAACTTTCTAGCAGCTTAGAGCATGCAGGAATAAGACATTTGACAAGCCCAAACTGTACAACTTAGTAATTAAGATATGAATAGCTTCACCAAGACACTTCCATTATCCTTACTTTTATTTTGCACTTAGTTGCTTCATTTTTTGATGCTGAAAGATTTTGCTATCTAAAGAAATAAACGTTATCGAAAGAAACACGGAATTAGGAATTGAGGAAATTAAGTGAACTACAGAAATTAAGGGTTTGAAGAATGTGATAAGAGAAAAGCATACTTCTTACTGATTCTAACATTCCTGCAGTTTTATCCGTATCAACACTTGTCGAAGTGCTAATATTATTAGAAATCGTCTCCGGAAGCAGATTTTGTGAATTTGGTTTCATTATACTAGGAATAACATCCAAAATTCCATCCGATAGTGCGGAATTTTGCAAAATACTGTTTGCTGATTGATGTGAATTTTTTGGAAGAACTTGATTATCCAAATCAGTCGTAACATCGAAAGCCTGATTTGAAACAGGAGCAATTGAAGATTGAGTTCCCAGAGCAGTACTATCCATGTGTGACGTATTAACGGTGCTTATTGAAGGATACGATTGTGAAGCATGAATCTGTGTAACGGATATTGCCGTTGGTTGAGCAAAAGTCGTTGAATTACTAACTGGCTTGGAAAAATCGATATCGGCTAGAAGTGATATTGCATTTGATGTTGATGCTATTGCTTGTAGGTTTACTGTTACTCCTGAGGAATGAGGAGTTTTTTGTAAAGTTTGACAACGCTCTTGCTGTTGAAAAATATCTCTACCAGGTAAGTGTTGTGTAAATGGTGCGCACGCTTGCAAGTGTGGAATTGGAAGCGTAGACATTGTTGACAAAGCCGACAATGGTTGGCCCTTCTGGAAAAAGTTTTATCAAAAAGGAATTGCAAAAATTTCACTTTGAGGAAGAGGAAAATGTTTTATTGCTAAATTAAAGTCAATTTCATTAAGCTACTCGAAAAGAGACCTAAACGTTCTAAAATGAAACTACTTATGTTTAGTTCTCTCATAAGTCTTTCCCCATTTATTTGCAATAATTTCTTATATACTCGCACATATCATTACATCCTAAATTCATTAATTCTCTTTAATCTTTGCTTCATTCATAATTTGTACACTAACCTGAAAAAACTTTTTATACTATACTATTACATTCTATATATAACTGGGAAAATTCTATGTAGTATACATTCTTACCTCTTAAACATGTTAAAAATGTCACTAAAATTACCACTTACTAAAAGACTAAAAAAAGAGAATGGGTCTTATTTTGTTCACTTCTAATATTATTTTGTTTTTTAGATCCAAATGAGAGGATAATAAAACCAACAGGAAAAAAGTTTACTTGTATTAATGCAATTAATGCTAAGCATGAGAAAAATTCTTGTCGAGTTAGTTGACCGGGCATAGTTCGATTCACCAACGACCATATATTACCAAGTATTGCACGTGGTAGACATGATGTAACCATCAAATTATAAACAAGTGCGGTGTTAGGTAACTGCGACTGACTTGGAGCACCGCATTTAGCAATAGCTTCCTTGTAAAAATGTGGGACACGGCTTTCCTGGAGAAGTGACGGCGGTACAACACCTCCATTCTGCATTATAAAACCTAAAAGTGAGCGGCTACAGTAAATCTTAAAAAACCATTTTAATTTCATTTAATTTCACAAGAGTGAATGAAACATGCTTACAATAGCGCAATCCCATGAAAAACCCTGAGTCCCATCAACAATTATTCCTAGTTCATAACAAAAAATTTACCATACCATTCCTTTCGAGAAACGTACCGTTAGTATCAGTATATTCCACATGACCCATAACAATAGCTGCCATAGGTTCAGCCTCAGTGATTTATAAGCAGTTGCTGAAGTTCCATTTTGACGAACAAAATCTGCAATGGTCCCATATAACTTATCAATAAAAGTCCTCAAAGCAACAATCATTTAGGTAATTCGTGACGTGGAGCGCGTCTTAACATTAGAAATTATTGTCTGACCATAAATAATACCACTTCTTAATCATATGAATGTCAATTAATGAAAATACGCGAAAATATTCTGACATCAAATTAAAAAAAATTAAAAAGAAAACAAAAAGAGATCCACGCACTGTGCAAAAAATATTCTTTATGAAAAAAAAACAAGCTTCGTTTGAAGTCTCTGCAAGCGAACAAAAAGAATTTTAATTAATTAGCAAATAAAACTTACAAACAATATTAATTTAGCGATGTATTTATAAATTGGACTAAAATATTCAACAAAAAAAAGAAGTTTCCAGTTTTTTCTCTAATAAAGCTGACGATTAGTTCCAATCACGGACTGCAAATAAACCGAATAATCTCACCAATAAATAAATAATTCCCAGAATTTAACAATAATTAATAACTATTAAGCTCATTTTGCTGAAAAGCAAATTTCAATATGATTTTAAAATTTTGTTAAAGTTGCAAAACAGCAGATAACAATCCTTCTATTTCATAACAGATTTCAAAAGTAGTATTGAATTACATATAATTTAAAAAGAAACTAAAAGGATAACAAAGCTCATAAATAGGCACCAAAATATAATTCAAAAACAATTTCTGGCAGTTGATCCCAGAAATGCTAGAACTGAGAAATTGTACTTGGAATAGAAACAATATACAACATAGATAGAACATAAAATATTAAACAGACGCTATGAGATTGCACAGATGAAAATTGAAGCAAGCTCTCACGAGGCATTAATACAATAAAACTGAGCATTAATACAACAATTATTAGCATTATTCATAAAAAAGATAACTTCATTTTTGAAAGAAGATAGGCATTATAAACAAACATTGATATAATTAATAAATTCAAAAAAAAAACTCCAACTCTATCAAACAAACATGGAAAAGTACTTCAAAACAAGATAAATGTTCAAAAAGAATGCTAAGATTTATAGGTTTCTCATTCATCATTTTAACCATATCATCTGCAGCCTTTCATAATGCTTTGATCTGCTTTTCGAAAAAGGCAATTCAAAATTTTTGGTGATATACTCAAAAAACTAAAAAAAGATTTTCTGAAATTGTTTTTAATTAACAAAATCAACTCAAGCAGCTACCATATTCTTTGTTTTCCGACTGAGCAATAAATTAGCCAGTTGTGCTTTAGACGCAAGTCCTTCACGTCGGCTAAGCAAACAACGAGCATAATCCGAATCCACCAATTCCGGATTACAAACGCGACTATGGTATCGAAGTCGCAAAGCTGGCTCAACAGCTCGCATCATGTGAATAATTTGATGACCGAGAAAGAGTGACGACAAATCTAACAGCAGAGATTTACCGTTTAGACGTGAACGAGTTCGTATGAAATCTGCACCATATAAAGAAAAGACTGAAAAATCCAAGGGGTCGAAACGACCTCGATCCTGAAATGTTATGTTTTGTAATGCCCGAAAAGTTCGAGATTCACATCACAATGGTTTTTAATCACAGACTGATTTTTGGAAGTTCAGTTACGATAACTCTTATAATTAGCTTTCTTGCATATGACCGGAACAACTCACCACATTGCATTAGCTTCTACAAGTTACTTGAAAAATGTGGTAAATACGACATCGCCAACTTTGCAGGCAAAAGAAAATTGATCACAGTTATTAAACCCACTTTATGAACAATAAGTGGCCGTGTATTTCGTTTAAAGCTAGCATCACGGAACTTGCTCATAAACGTATCTGCACCACCCATAAAAGTTTTGTCGATGTTAGGATCTTTCATTTTTGATTGGAGTGCTTCATTTGCGCTCACAATTTGTGGATGATATTCCACGAATGGAAGCGGAAAGAACACCTGCCAAAAAATAATTACTATAAACTGATTTCCAGTAGTAGTAGTAACACATGAAAGAATCATAACAAATAAAAAGAAATGACTGTAAATGCATCTAATATTACCGCAGCGGCTACATATCTGATTTTGGGCAGTAACAAAATTGATACATCAATGGCTAATGGTGTCGATATTAGAACCAGGAATTTATTGCCCCATATATATATTGTCACAGTTGCTACAAATCAAAAAGCTCTTTACCTGAAAATGTTTGATAGTATTGATGCGTACTCGATCAAGAAATTCACGCTGAATATCAGCATGAGGTGACAATAAGAGGTAGATCATTTGTTCGCCAAAATGATCAACTGCTTCATCGAGTGCTGCTGCCGCCAAAACTGGATGACTATCTTGTTTCAATATTAATAGCATAGTTTCTGTTTGTGCTCGTTTACACCTAAAGAATCAAACAACTGATAATAATGCGAAAAACTTTGAACTTTGAGAAACTAATTAACAGAACCTTCATAAGGAACAAAAGATTAATAACAACAATATTGAAAATTTCAAAGTACCGAATTCTTAATTCAATAATATCATCGTTAAGTAGCCGAATGGCGAAAGGATCAACATCACGTATAGCTATAACCAATCTGGTTTGTCGGTTATCACCAACTGATGACTGACATAGGCTCACATATTGAACTATGAATCGACGAACAGCGCCCACTTCATCATTTGATCCAAGCGGTATCAAAATTGTTAAATCAGTATCTTCTTTTACGTAAGGTACCTCAATGTGTATTTTTTTAAATGCACAGTACCTTAATAAGATTATAAAAATTAGATTACAATTATTTCTCCAAACACTAAAATTGCAACTTAAAAACGTTAGAAAACCATGGATTGAGAAAATGATGAAGAATTGAGAACAATAAAAAGTGTATTATAATATTCTAATATATAATAAATTAAAAGTAACTTACTTGCTGTAAAAGTTGACCATTAGATATTACTCGGGTTAAATGAATACGATGCACCTTGCCTCCATCGTTGTTACGATATAACAAATCTACGATATAATCCATACCTCGCATTGGATCAAATAAACGATAACCGTTTCGAAGTTGTAAAAAATCTTCATCATTCGCTTCACCACTTTCTTCAATGAATTTCCGAGATGCTGCAACTATCTAAAAAAATTGCTCGATATATGAGTGATATATGAATGGGATGTGTTTCAGGACATAGGAATTTGAATTAAATGCCGAGATCTCTTGCATTTAAATTTCTATAATGAAACTCCAAAGGAAAAAAAATACAAATTATCTTGTGATATCAAGAACAAATTTAAAACAGCAGTTATTACTGAACTTCCAACTGTACCTCATTACCTAACTGGACAGCTAGTAACCTTCAAACGACTACGAAAATTCAATTATGATAATTAAGATAAGCATAAGCAGGAAGCACAAAGAATAAATTTATTCAAATACTAATCTAACATATAATAACAAACCTCTTCAACATCCAGCTTATCATCTCCACTCAACGCGTAAACATTTTGGTTCGGCTCATTTTTGAAGATCTCTGTATTTGTAAAGAAATGCCACTTCGCAACCTAAAAACTAAATTTACTATATTCTCAATACTAAACTGCACAAAACTCCTTATACTATATTAAACAAAAAAAACAAAAAAGTTTAGAAATCACCTGATACCGATCTGGTGCTTTTGAATATGGTGGTAAGCCAGCTGGTTGCGATGGTCCGTCAATAATATCGTACGATAATGAGACAATTTCAGTAGATATGCGATCAATTTCACATTCAATACGATTTAATTCGACATGTAAGAAATGCTGATGAAGCGCATGAGCATCTGCATCCGAAAGCAAAGGTGAAACACTGAGGGATCTGAAAACACCAAGCATTTATGATTCATTTCTTTTTTAAATGAATAAGTAATCAAAGAAAATTTTAAGTTGGGTAAAGTTATCACCGATTAAAATTTTCTGACGACGAAGCCCACCACGCAACGGCATCATGTATGGCTGTGCCACTACCGCCTTCAGATAATCCTTCATCGACTTTCCACCAATCATACGTCCGGCCCTGAATAAATCAACAAAATCAATGATGTAAAGACATATAACGAAGTAGAAGGTATTGACTATGGAAAAAAAAAACCTGATAGTAACTGGTACACGACAAGTTTGTTGCAAGATGAATGCAGAATTCGAATGCATTATGGTCTGAACTGCTAGATATGGAACTACACAAGTGTCTGAAGTTCCTGTAACACTGATTAATTATGTGAGACTTTGCTTTTTGCTAACAATTTCTCTATTGAGTAGGCCATTTATTCCTGTGGATATAACAAAATTGTTTATTGTCTTACAACAATGAAATAAGGTTTCATTTCATTCTGTATCTCTTTTCGCCAACGTATATCAATTTACATGAACTGTAAACTATAATGCAATTACTTCAATTTGAAATTTCTAAAAAAATTAAAAAGCAAAATGGAGTATCTCTTACTGTACAAGCGATTGCATGGCAAGATTTGTTAGCAAAATTCCGGCTTGCAAGCTACATCTGTTCGAATTATCCCCAGTTCCAACACCAATAGCTACATGACGATTCCAATTCACGTGATTTACAAATCGCATCAGTTCGAATGGATTTACGTACGTCGTATCAGGTATCACGTAATACCAGTCAAATTTTTCATGCATAGTTTAAAATGAATTTAAAACAATAAAGACTAGAAACGCTTCGAAATATATTTCTTTCAAGCTACAGGCAAAATAAAAGCTTTATCTTGTTAGCTTAGGAAACTGTCACGTTTCAACTCAGTTTCGAACTGGTAACCTCACAGTGGCAAAAAAGTTATGTTAGTGATAAGTGATAATATAGCGTAACATAAGTTATATGGTATTATTGATATTCAACAACCAACCATATTAAAAATGAGACTGAGAACTGGCATATGCGAATGTTGTCCATTTAGTCTGTACGGTGTGAGATTGGGAAGAATGGCTATGTCACCATCTATACGAGAGATGTCAGCAAAGAGTTGTAGGTGAGGTACATGCCGGCCGATGGATGCATTCAGTGCCACCATTAACGAAGATTGCCCGAGAAGAATGACCACAAGTTTTTCACGTATTCCCAATTCAGTTGCCGCAAATCCAGCTCTAACGACCTGAAACGACTTAATCTAATTCCAATTTTAAGAAAGCTTTGCTCTGAATCCATAACGACATAAGTCTGTAAAGAATACACAGCCAAAGGGACACAAAGAAACGATGAATATGAATTAATTCCAACTTCTCATACAGCAAACTAGATGAGATTTTACATGTTCAAAGCACACATATTCGATGATTAATGTTTCATATTAAATTACAGCTCGCTACAAAAATCTCACTTCAATATTTATCAATTAACAAGACACTATCAATATAAACAACCTTCCGGGTCTGAGAATGACCATTAGTCGTAGTGGTTGCAGCTTTTTTGATAATAACTTCCCAGTGCTCACTTGATAACTCCTCGTTCGGCGTTCCCGGTGTGATCAGTTCATCGGGTAGAAACAGCAGCACTGACAAGAATATGCCAAGTACCAAACCCGAGGTAAGCGATATACCCGTACGCACTCCATGCACCATTGACTTTCCAATGAACTGTTGTGATCTATAATTATTAGACTCTCATTTCGCGATTTTCCATAAATTTTACCGATTTAAACGAAGTGAAATGAAGGTTATGCATTCGATCGGTTGTAATCTATCACATGAATTCTTCCAATTTCTTCTGAGTTCCCGAATCAAAAAAACTTCAGGCTTCCCCAGAAACCGATCTTCGCATACCGGGAGCTCCGTCCTATCAACACTGTTATTCTTTTCATTCCTTACAAGCACTTTTCATTGCTGCCACCGCATTTAATATGAAACTCATGAACCCCTAACATCTTTGCATCACAGAATCTTATCATTCTCTGCATCTCATTAAATTACACACACACTTTATAGCTGTCGTTCATTTAGCAGCAGTTTTCCGGGATTCCTAACATTATCTCTAAACTTTACACAAGTATCCTTTATCTCTCAGTTTATCTCAACTCCTTCAACTTCTCCCTCATATCTCTAATACTCTTTAATTTCATCTATTTTCTCAGCATGCAGCTACTTGATATTTACTGGGCTGGTGGATGAGTTGCTAGAATTGCTTCCGCCGTTACTTTACCGTCATTCCCGATATTCACTAGAAGGTTTGGTGGGTTAATTATTCTTTGCTTGAGTTACGTATTGAAGTAATTAAGCTCACAGAAATTTATTTAGTACCACGAGTTTTGCTAGTTTAATTTAGTGAGAAGACAGAGATAGAGTGATTTTCAGCACATTGAGAAACGATGGATACAGATTTGTATGACGAATTTGGCAATTATATAGGACCTGAATTGGATTCGGATGATGAGGAAGACGAAGATACTCTTGCTTCGAATGCTCAAAAAATAGACGATGATGGAAAGGAGGAAGAGGAGGTATCTTTGTATCTTGAACTTTTATTTTGCGTGAAACATTTCTGTCGTTTTCGTTTCTACAATTTCTACAATTGAAAGAAAAAAGTGAGAAATTGTATTTATTTTTCGACAGCATTTTTGATACTTTATTTATGTTATCAAATATCACTAACATTGTATACATGTTTGGTTAAACATAAGTTAGATAGAAATCGCTGTTTTCAATCAAAGAAATCCAAATTTATGTATAAATTCTGCAGGATGATGAGGCAATGAATGATGATGCCGATCAAATACCGTCTAATCAAATTGTACTGCATGAAGATAAGAAATATTACGCAACAGCGATGGAAGTATGTTTTATGCCACATCGGTTGTAAATTGAATGTTTTAGGACTTATTTAAATTTGAAATAAAACTTCAATTTAGAACTAATGCGATCTTAAACTCAGGACTTTTTATTTCTTGTAGCTAACTTATGTGATTTAACAAGATTTCGTTTGTTCCATATTTTTCGATTTTTATCCATTTCAGATTTATGGCGAGGATGTTGAAACAATTGTGCAAGAAGAAGATGCTCAACCTTTAACAGAGCCAATTATAAAACCTGTTAAACAACGAAAATTCCAGGTCAGTTTGTTAGGCATTCATTTCTCATTAAAAAATTTATTTAATTTAGAAAAGGCATTTCGCTTGTTATATTAATTTGTTTGTGGATCATTTTTCAGGCACTTGAGCATGCCTTACCAGAAACAGTGTACAATAAGGAGTATCTTGCTGATCTGATGGATTGTCCGCATGTTATGCGAAACATTGCAATCGTGGGCCACCTCCATCATGGAAAAGTAGACTTTCGATTATTCATAATTTGTTCATCATTTTTCATGCAATCGGGAACGGGAAAAAGTTCAATTAAAAATGATGAAATTCTATTTTTTTGATAATATTAAGGCAAGGGGAAGTATAGCTATTATAGCTATTCTTGTTTTTTAGACTACTTTCATCGATTGCTTAATGGAACAAACGCATCAAGAATTTTTTCGTGGTGAAGATTCAGACACTCGTTATACCGATACTTTATTTATTGAACAGCAACGTGGTTGTAGCATTAAAGCTACACCAATTACCATTGTCATGCAAGATTCACGCCAAAAAAGCTTTCTGTTAAATATAATTGATACACCAGGTAATTTGCATTTCAATAATGATTAAAGGTCCTTTCGCGTTATATATATATATTTTTTGATGTATAAGTGAGATTGGATTTCAGGACATGTCAATTTCTCAGATGAAGTGACCGCAGCATATCGCTTAAGCGATGGCGCAGTAATTGTGGTAGACGCACATGAGGGAGTGAGTTTTATCATTATCTTAAAATATATTTTTTTATTTTTTCCAGCTTAAATTGAGTATGTTTTCAGGTTATGTTGCAAACGGAAAGAGCAATTCGGCACGCTGTGCAAGAACGATTGCCAGTTACCGTTTGCATAAACAAAATTGATCGGCTGATGTTAGAGCTGAAATTGCCTCCCACAGATGCTTATTATAAACTTCGCTTTATTCTGGACCAAATTAACAGTTTGCTTCAGTAAATTTATATCTATTTTTACTTGACATATGGGGTAAATTAATGGTCGTTGTTAAGTTTTGGTAGAAAAGAAGTTTATTATTTAATTTGCCGAAGTATTATAAATGTCTGCGAGTTACATTTTTTTGGTTTTCAGAACATTCAGCGATGAAAATGAAGCAATGAAAGTATCACCTTTACTCAACAATGTGGTTTTCGCTAGTTCTAGATATAACATATGCTTTTCATTACGAAGTTTCGCTGAGTTGTACGCTAGTAACTATGGTATACTTTGTTTACAGAAATTTCCGCTTTTTCAATCGTTCCATCTTTATTTTTTTTGTTGAAATCCTTGTGATTTTTTGCATTTTTCATTCCATGAATTATAGGGACATTCAGTGGAGAAGAATTTGCGAAACGTTTATGGGGCGATCAATATTTCGACAAAAAGACTCGAAAATTTGTGAAAAAATCGCCACATCAAGGAGCTTCACGATCTTTTGTAGAATTTGTTCTCGAGCCGCTTTATAAAATATTTTCTCAGGTTTGCCATATTTCCATTGATTGAATTCTCCTGTTTGTAGTCATATATGATATATGTTGTTAAGGTTGTTGGCGATGTGGATACATGCTTGCCGTCGATGATGGCCGAACTGAATATTAAATTGACCAAGGAAGAACAGCGAATGAATGTACGACCACTAATCGCCCTGATTTGCCGTCGTTTCTTCGGCGACTTCAACTGTATGTATTTACACTATGTCATATACCTATTGGCTCTACTGCGTAGATTTGAAAAAATGATTTTAGAGTTTTATATGAATTATTGAATCAATTAGATCATATTATTACAAAGCATTGCAGCCTTCGTCGACCTCGTTACGCAAAATATCAAATCGCCATCGGATAATGCAAGCACAAAAGTGGAACACACTTATTTAGGACCGATGGACAGCAAGTTGGCGCAAGCACTCATGAAATGTGATGCTGATGTAAGAACTAATTGAAAAGAATGAGTTTTGCAGAAAAAGCGGAGATTACAACAAAACCAGAATTTGTTTTAGGGTCCTCTAATGGTTCATACGACAAAAAACTATGCAACAACTGATGCTACATCATTCCACGTTTTTGGCCGTGTTATCAGTGGAACATTACATGCTGGACAAGATGTTCTCTTTGCTTTTTTAGTTTTTGGCGTCTAGATTTTTATCAGAACTAATTAAAAACCTGAGTTAGGATTTGAATTTGACCATGTTTTGCAGGTTCGAATTCTTGGTGAGAGTTACAGTATTCAAGACGAAGAGGACTGTAGGATTATGACTGTGGGTCGCCTATGGATTAGTGTTGCAAGGTTTTGTTATTTTGATTTTATAATGTTTTTATTCTTCACAACTTGCTATTCTGTGCAATTTCCCTTTTGCAGGTATTCAATGGAAGTGTCTCGTGTTCCAGCTGGAAATTGGGTATTAATTGAAGGGATTGATCAGCCAATTGTGAAAACATCAACCATAATGCAAGTTGAATATGACGAAGATGTAAGCTGGAATTCTGCAACATTCCTGCGATTTTTTGAAACATTTAATTAAATGTCGACATATCTTGGTTTTAGATTGATCATTAAATTTTTTAAAGGTTTATATATTCCGTCCTCTGAAATTTAACACGAAGTCGGTTGTCAAGCTCGCGGTTGAACCCATTAATCCTTCAGAGCTTCCAAAAATGCTCGATGGTTTGCGTAAAGTATGTTTTTCAGGAATAGTTTTTTTTGCATAACTTTTCTCTTTTCATTGTTAAGGTTGTTTTACTAAAAGTTTTCTTTCTGTATTATGTAATGCAGTCTTTCTTTCCTATTTCATAGCACTCAAAACCTATCAATTTTGTTGGACACATTGTCATATTTAAGTTTAAAATTTGCGTAGGTCAACAAATCATATCCGCTGTTGACAACTCGCGTTGAAGAATCTGGAGAACATGTTATGCTGGGTACCGGAGAACTTTATATGGACTGCGTAATGCATGATATGCGGAAGGTTTATATTACTAGTTCGTTTTTTTCATTAGTGAGTTTTTTGATATAAAAAGAATTTTGATACAAAAAGTTATCTGGAGAAGTTTCATTGCTAAATTGATTGTAGCAGATCTGCTAGATTAGTCTACTAAACAGGTTCAAAGGTGATCACAGTGTTACTCCATTGCATATATTGGCACTACTGCGGTAAATTTAGTTAAATTCAGGTGTTTTCGGAAATTGATATCAAAGTGGCTGACCCCGTTGTTTCGTTCTGTGAAACCGTTGTTGAAACATCATCTTTGAAATGTTTTGCTGAAACGCCTAATAAAAAGTTCGTACAAATTATAAATTCTTGTAAGCTATTCTTAGCATTATGAGCTTAATTTTTTACATTTCGGTAAGGTTTTAAAATTACATAGTTCTTCATTTCTACAGAAATAAATTAACGATGATAGCCGAACCACTGGAGAAAGGTCTTGCTGAAGACATCGAAAACGAAGTAGTCCAAATTGGATGGAATAGGAAACGTCTCGGTGAATTTTTCCAGACAAAATATGATTGGGATTTG